GGTGGAGAAACCAAGGAACTACCGGGGGAAGTGGAGGAGTGGAAAGTGGAAAGGGGGGGCTAAAGAAATGGGGGAAGCGAGGAATGCAAAAGGAAGGGTGCGAACACCCAAAAGGGGAGGCAGCCAAGGTTACTGTCTCCCCCGCGTAATTGCGCATAAAAATGAAGCGATTTATATGCGCGTATTTTTAATGTTTCATAATTGGGTAAGCCCATCAGAGGACGAGGGAGCCGGGGGAGCCAAAGGAACCCGAGGAGCAGGAGGAACAGGATCCGATGGAGAAGCTGGATGTGCTGGATATGCATATATATATTTGAGTATATATATATGTATGTGCGTGTTACCTTATCTCTTCTGTAAAGTGATATGTTAATGTTTGTCACACGCACACACAGATCCACACACGCGTGCCATATTAAATGTCTGCTCTTCCTTCATCTGCACTCATTTCTTTTTCATTGCTCGAAAACAAAACAACGCAAAGAAATAAGAATGATGGAAAACTTTAACAAGATTACAGCTTTCACGTATTTAATGTAAGAGGATCTCCACTGCCAGAAGGGTAAAAACTATTTGGTGTTTTGTATTTTTCCAATTCTCGTAAGTTGGCTTACAGAATATCCGAAATAATTGGTTCTCTTCGACAAACAATAGCTGGTTTTCCCGGTCAACCGGGGTGCATTGAAAACATTTTAATTCCGCATCAAAGTTAAATGCACAAGCAATTGATTGGAGTCATAATGAGGACGGGCAGACAAAAATGAATTGTGCGCACAGTGGCGAGCAATTAAAACTTCATCGATGGCACAATGATGCGTTACGTAATTACAATCGCTCACACATGCCGGGCGGATAAACTCGCTTTTTGCCATGGCTAACACACCGATAACATCTCGACTGAAAGTGTCAAGCAGGCGGCTATTTATTGGCCGATAGGGCAAAGTGGCCATAAATGAGTGCGAAACTTTTTCCACCGATAGCCAAACGCGATAACACGATAATCGCACGCTGATGATTTTCATAAATAAGCCGTAATTCATTTCTTAAATTAACAACATAATGCCCGGCGTTATTTGTATTCATTTCTTGAAAGTCTCTTTCCCAGATCCGGGGATTCCGGAGATTCAGGGGGGAATCCGGGGGAGTCCGGAGTGTCCGGGAGTTCGGGGAGTGTTCATTAAAATTGAAAAATGCCACTTTAATGAATTTATTTGCGACACTTAACACAAGCGCAAGTAAACAGAGAAAAATGATGTTCATTAACATAAAAATTTCGCTTCTTCCACTACAGTGGCCATCGTAATGGTCGCCCCAGCTCCAGATGCTCCGACACTCGACGCGATACACTGAGGAAAATCGGTTTTAAATAGTTTATTTTATGGGGAAGAACTCATTTCTTGTGAAAGGTATAAATTTGTACTTATCATTTGACTTGAAAAACAGCGTTATAAACGAAATAGGAGTTATTAGGAAGAGAATTAATTAACTTTGAAAGAATGAGGGTAAAATCATGGTATATATTCTAAAAATGTTTTACAATATTGTAAAATTCTGTTCGTATACCAGGGGCGGACGCAGGGGGTGTCCGGGGGTCCGGACCCCCCAAATTTCCTTACAGCACACGGCTTTTCAACCATAAAAACTAAAATTTTTTTTGATCGGGCCCCCCCAAACAACAAAAATTTTTCGATCGGACCCCCCCCAAAATTTTTTTCTGCGTCCGCCCCTGTCGTATACGATTAAAGTCGAAAATATTGTCTAAATATAATACAATATAATATTTGAAGAAATTATAATGAAACGTTATTAATTTAAGGATTTACATATTTATCAAAAACCACCTCCTGTTTTTGATTTTCCAAAACAAAACTTTTAAATAATCATTACATTTTAATAAATTTCAAAAATTAAAAGTAAATTTATGATCACTGATACAATTGCATAACAATATTTTTCAAACATAAGAGTTTAATTTTCTCCACAAGTTATTAACAACCAAATATTAACAAATAAAGTAGTGAGCCCCCGATTTCTGCCAGTGCCCTTTGAACCCCGCTTGAAGTCGCCTTGCTGACAGTTCGTGGGTTTGCGGGTTCGTCTTGGGGCTGGCAATTGTCATTACCGTTTCGACTATTGTCAAAGCTGTTAGCCTGCAATTGATGAGTCAATATGTCACCGAGTGACAGGTCACGTTGCCTCGCATCGCACCCCGCCATTAACTCCCCCTTAAAGTCGGTTCTCTCCCCCGCCCCGAAGAGCTCGGCATTAATTTTCAAATAGTTAACATTCAGAGTTCCGGAGGCAATTGCTTGTAAGGTAATTTAATTAATGCGAATTTCAATCAGGCCACCGCTCGCTGGTGTAATCAGTGTCGCAGCGCGGAAGGCATTTATTTATTATTATTAACACTTTTATGATTTATCTGGGGTAAAGTGAAAGCTCGAATCACATAATGCATTCAGCCTTATTATCCTCTTAGTATGAAACTATTTATTATATACACAATAGGGCAAAAAGTATCTTTTGGGGTCGATATAAAGGGGTAATAATTTGTTTTTGTTTCCTGTTAGTAAAATTTAATCTGTTATATGATACCTATATATAAATTACATTTTGATTTTCGTTACTTGTTTATGTTGTGCAAAAGGGGGACTTTTGCCTTTCATGGGTTTTAAATGAGATAATATTTTAATCTACAATTATTATTCAAAACCATAGGCTTTCCAAGTCAAACACAAGTATTCAGTTGGGTTCGCAAGGACCTTTCAATGCCAACACAATTGCTGCGGCGGCTGTCCTGTCCGAAGGACGAAGTAAGACCCCCTTTGATGGCCATTCGAGGCTCAAATTGGGTAAAGTGTCCCCGTAGCTGTTGGCCAAGTCGGCTGAGCCGTAATCGAAACTGTAAACTCGTTCGCACTCGCATGTGTTTATCGGATGTCGACGGGGCCAGAGGAGCAAAGTGGACTTGGGGGTCATGGGTTGAGAGCTGAGAGCTGAGAGTTGAGAGTGGAGGGGTCAAGAGGTCAGGCTACCAGCAATTACATTCGCCTTGTTGTCCCTGCTGCTCGGTGCACTTTGAAAACACTTCTTCGGAACCTTCGGAACCTCCTTTGTGTAACTGGGGTAAAGATGATTTCGTTTGTACTTAAAATTAGTTTCGAACTTGCAATAATGACAAAGTAACATACAATAAATGTTGTTTTATTGTTACAAAGATTGATTGATTGTTATATGAAGACAAATTTAAGGGACTACTTTTTCCAAAATTAAATTTTCATTAAAAATATGTTTATATTTAACAACAAAGATATGTTTAAAAAGGTTTGACTTTTAAATAGAAACTCAAAGCATAAACAGATAAGTAAATAATACTCATAAATGAAATTCCCAAATAAATTAATAAATTAATTAGTTAATTAGTTAATTTTCTAATAATTTATTAGTTATCTACAAGCATGTAGGATTTCTTCAGGTGCACTGGATGCAATCGCCGCCGTGAAATGCCAGAGATCGGGATCCCCGTTGTCCAGGGAGTGCGGCTAATTCAATTGCTTAGGCGCCCAATGAACAGAACCAACAATCCGCTCGGCCAATTGCTTAATGCTCCAAGTCACGTGTTCGCCCGCCCGCCATATAGCCATATAGCCGTATTGCCATATTGCCACCGCTTTCAGCGGTTAATTTGCCGCATCGACTTCTGCCCCCGAAAACCCTGTGATTTTGTGATTTGGATTCGCCCCAACAACGTTCGATTTTTCCGGTGCTTGTGGCCAGGTTTTCCCCTTTCGGTTTTTGGAAAACGTGGATTGTCGCCAGGGAAATGTTTCCGATCAAATACTTTTAAATTGATATACATACATTAATACTTTAATTCTCATATTCAAACTATAATTTATATTTATACTAAAATAATTATATTTTTTATGTTATTATTGTTAAAACATTTTGGTTAGTGAAAATGATACAATATTTACAATATATTTACAATAAATTAAATTAAATTAAAAACACGCGCGTCTTACAAAAATTGTGTTAAACACCAAAACAAAAAAAAAACTTGTTTAACTTTTCATACCCTTGCAAAAAAAATCTATATAGAAATAATGGAAAAAAAATATAACGTCGTTGTTTTTAATCCCCCAAGCATGATTTCCACAATATGGAGTTTTTTAATAACCTTTGAATGGAAAAAAATGTCATCAAAATCCGACAACGTTATCATATTACGAATTATTATAATCAAAGTCGATCAACTATATCATATAGCTGCCATATGAACAATTGTCGAAAATATAGATAATTATAAAATATATATACAAAATACCATAGCTTCGAAGTTGTTTAGCCTTTATTTATTTTGTTCGACATTTTTGATGACTTCGGTTTGCCGAAGCTTGAAAATTATTTGGGACTCAGGGCGTTCTTATATTATATGTACTAAAGGAAATTATTTTAGATTTACAAGTTGGTTTTTCATGCGAGAAAAACCTGTTTTATTTTGTTTGGAAAAAACTTGCATCTGAATATTTAACCAAAAAGATAAATTTCCTATTTACATACTCTGTAAATAATGCTGTACAAATGTAGAATGTATATATTTACTTCTCTTTAACTTAACAGACGCCTACTTCTGCTGTTTACAGTCCTGTTAATTAGAGCCGGAAACTCCAATTGGAAGTCGCTGCTAACTGTTAGAATCTTGTTAACGCAAGCTTGGTACTGAAATGTGGTTTCAGTCTGGGCTAGAACTCTACAAGCTTGCATACTGCTTATATTGTGAATATGCACTGCTTAACAGAATTTAAGGTTGTTATTCTATTAACCATTTGATTTTTTAAATATTTATTGGTAATTGAGTTTTAAAACAAAAATGAACTGCTTCGCAACTTTAGCGAAAAATCAGCTTTGAATTATTTGCAAGCCATCTCGCTCGCACTTGCAGAAACCTTACTTGCCATCTCTTTCCTTCTCATGTAAAGAAATCTCAAAAAGGCATATTTATTTAAATTATTTACTGATTAATTTATTTGCTTAGCGAGTAACAATTTGTTATCGTGACTTTTTCATAATTTCCTAATTTATTCAGTTACCCAAATCAACTTAGTATTTACAGTCTTACATTATGAATTAATTATAAATAAAATCAAATCCTTTCCAAATTATTATTATTATTATTCTTTATTTTTTAGCCAGGCATTTATTTTTGTTTTGCGATTAACCGATTTATATCAACTGGAACAAAGGCTTGTAAACAGCAAACAAAAAAAAAAAAAATATTAGGTTTATAATTACTGAAAAATTCTATAAATTTGACAAATCGCAAAGTAAGCATTCCAGTTTTTCAAATTGTTTCCTACTCTGGGAAATACATTTCCGCCTGGCATCCTCGAAGTCCTTCGAAGAGCCACAATGCTCTAGGTGTACATACATATGCCATTACAATGCTACCCACTTCGAGGGGTATGCTCCACGTTACATAGGTGGATAAATCGGGAAATCCTTAGCTAATGTGTACAATTTAAGTGTATAAATCGGGAATTCCTTAACTAATGTGTACAATTCAAGTGTAGTTTTAGCTCCGTGTGGGATTCGGTTGGGGTTCGGATTCTGGCGGAGATGTGGGAGAAGTTCTGGGCTCAACACGCGGAGGCGAAGCTCTAGAAGATGGTGCTCTCCGCCGGCTTCCGGTAGACGCGTCCCTTCTTCCGCATGTACTGGTTGATGAAGTCATAGGACTTGTGCTTCACGGACTCCGTGCACGAGAGTGGATGACCGGTCACGTCGCAGTAGCGCACCTCCTTGGTGGTGATGTGGTGACTCAGCTGCGGAAGGGAACAACCAACCAGTGAGGAAACAATCTTGCAGAAGTGAAGTGCAAGTACAAACCCTCTTGATCAGGAACTTGTAGTCCTCGTCGCTGGTGATCCTCCCCAGCTGGCAGCTCTCCTTGCGATAGGGACGCAGGAAGTCGGCCACATGGCCGCTGATCTCGAAGCGGAACTTCTCGTGCGCCTCGCGTCCACTCGTCGTGGTCAGCAGACTTTGGGAGGTGCTATCGGGTAGAATGGAATTAGAATGGTAATGGTAAACCAAGGATGCACACTTACCCCTTGCTCTTCTTGTTGCGCTGCTCCTGGCGGTGTTTCTTGGCATTCGGCACTTGGGGCGGCATCGGTAGCTTTCGCTTTCCACCCGCTGGAGTCGCCTGACCGGCGGACGCCTTGCCAAGAGCGGCCAAGGCGGCGTGACTGGTGCTGGGCGCCAGGCTGAGGGACTCCAGCTCGTCGGCCGGTGGAGCCACTCCACCCTCGGATCCCTCCGCCGCTGGCGCTTCCGCTGGCTCCTCGTCGGAGGAGTACAAGTAGGCCTGGATGGGCAGCGAGTTGCTGGGCGCACCGTCCTCCGGATTGTCAGAGGAATCGGGAACGGCGGTGGCCACGTCAATCTTCCGCCGACGGTAGAGCTCCTTGCGCCGCCTGATCTTCTCCTTGTTCTCCTTGTACTTGCGCGACTCCAGCTGGTTGTACAGGCGGTCCTCGTCCCGCCGCGGACTGATCACCCGAATGGAGACCAGGCGACTGCGCCGGAGCTCCCTCCGCTCCCGCACCTTCCCCTCAACGTACTGGGCCAGCGACTTGGAGCTCAACCCACCAACATAGTCCATGTCCACCTGGATGAGCTCGGTGGCGAGGAGCGCGGGATCGAGCTGCAGCTCGTGGAGCGGCTGTTGCGTGGGATCCTCCTCGAGCAGCGTCTGCAGTCGCTGCTCCGGACTCGGCGGCTCCCACTGCGAGATGCGCTCGCGCAGATTGTAGTAGTAGATGTCCCCGTCGCTGGTCATCCGCCAGTGCCACGCCGGAGGCAGTGGGTCCACCCCGGCGGGCAGCTTGTACTCCACGGCGGCTCCCTGGCCACCGCCCTCCGCCTCGGGGGAGAGGAGCGCCTGGGCGAGCAGCTCGGTGCGCTGGGGTGCCGGCACCGGCTTGTCCTCGCTGTTGAACCACTCGCCGGTGTCCGCGTTCTGGTAGAAGGGCAGCTGCTTGGGGTCGGTGTTCAGGTCCACGCCGAAGAACTCGCAGCGCAGCTCGTGCTCCCGCCAGTCCTCGCTGCACACGCGCTTCTCCGCCTCGTCCAGCGCCACCTGGAAAGTGGAGGGAATGGGGTGAGTTGAAAGTCGAAGTGGGTCAAGCATAAGTGGGTTGAGTGGGTTAAAGTATTTGCCACACTGAAAGCAAACTAAGCAACCAGCATAGGCATACAGCAATTGCATTAATGCTGATTAATGAGATACAGGTGGTCAAAACTATGCAACTCTTTAAATTATGATACGACAATAGAATATGAGTTATGATACAATATGAACAAAATAGAATTTATAGTGGTTTTTGCCGGAAACTATTCAGCATTTAATTTAGATGAAACACTAATCAATATTTCAATGTTTGTGTTGTCCAATAATAAGGTATTAAGATCATGATAATAATAATATATTATATAATATAATAATATATAATTTAAGTGCAGCAATTCAATATGAAATGAATATTATTTTTCGTTACTTAGGTACCAACAAATCTTAAAATGGTTTTAGGATCCACATTCATTCTCTCCTTTTCTCTATGATAATCAGGTCGCAGATAATCAGGATATCGGATAAACATTAAGATGTTACTTGACTACTAATAATTAGCTAATCAATTAGCTATTCAATTTGTAAAAATCATTTGTTTTGTTGAATATTATACTGCATATATTAATAATAATATAATAATATATATATTATATAATATTCTCCATAGATCTGCACTCACCTTCCGCTCGAAGAGACTGCGCCGGAGCTCCTTGGAGATGGTGCGCTGCGGATCCCCCATGGATCCGAGGTCGGACCTGCGCCGCCCGTCGCTCCTGGCCAGGCCGTCCATGCTGCCGCCTCCGCCCTTCGGCTGGCTGGTGATCGTGCAGATGGTGTTGTTGCCGCTCATGCGGATGGGCTTCCCGGTGCGCCCGCCGTTCGTGTCCCGCCGGAAGCGGTCCTGCCTGAAGCGGTCCCCGCCCGAGGAGCTCTCCCTCTCGCGCTGATCCTCCAGAGCGGTGCTCGCGTGGACGTGCTTCTGCTGGCGGTCCGCCTCCCGCTCGTGCTCCTTCATCTGCTCGATGCGCTCGCGCTTCGGGATGCGGAAGATCTCGGGCAGTGCCTGCCACTTCTGCAACAAGGCCGCCATTCGCTTGTGGAGCGCTGCATCCTGCACCTGAGCCTGAGCCTCTCCTGCATCGCCTGCTGGCTGCTCCAGACTGCCACTCCACAGCTGGACGCTCTGGTAGACGCGGCTGTCGTTCAGCATCGTGCGGTTCGGAATGGGCAGCGATTCCAGGGTGTCCAGCAGCGCCAACCGGAGCTGGCTGTCGTCGCCGTTCTCGCTCATCCAGGCGTGGAGCAGCCGCAGGCCATGGTAGTCGAGGAAGAGTCGCCGGCAGGGAAGCTCGCCGCGTGTGAGCACGCCCAGCAGCTGGAGTCTGGTCGGGAGCAGCTTGGCCCGCACCATGCAGCGCGAGAAGCGCAGGGTGTCCAGCTGGTTCTTCAGCCCGCTGCGGCTGAGCAGAGAGAGCTCCTCCAGCACATCGGGATCCTCGAGCATGGCGTGGAACTTGTTGACCTTCGGCTTGCGGGCGGACTTCTCCGCTGAGCCAGCGGAACCACTGCCACCAGTGGGCTTCAGCCAGCGACCCGCCTTGTACTCGCGATCCTTCGGCTTGGGCTGCTCCTTCCGCTTCCGATTGCTCGACAGCGGCAGCTTGGTCTTCAGCTTGGACCTCACCTTGGTCTTGGCCGTCGTCTTGCGCTCCTCCTCCGCCTCCGGTCCGAGGTCCTCCTCCTCCAGCTCCGCCTCCACCTCGCTGTAGCTGTCCACGTCGAGCTGCTCGCCCTCGTCGGAGTCCGGCTCGCCGCCAATCCAGCCCCGGCAGTTGGCCGCCTCGCAGTAGCAGCGCTGGGCGTCGCGCCCGTACCGCTGGTACTGGTAGTCGAAGGTGATCTCCTCGCCCGCCTGGATGGGCTTTACGCTGAAGAAGCCGATGCGCAGCTCCCCGTTGACCGTCCACTTCTGGGTCTCCGCGTTGGGGTCGCAGCTGTGGTTGATGTACCGCGAGATGTTCCCCTTGGAGGTGGCGTCGATGATCGCCTCGCCGCGCAGCGCCATGAAGTAGTAGTGGCGGTTGCGGTCCTTCGAGTAGAGGTGCTGCCGCCGCTCGAACTCCTCGCTGTCGATCACCTCGCCCACGTACTCCATGATGAACTCCCCCGGGCGGGATCTGCAGCTCCGCGGTGATGCCGCAGCCCTTCTTCTCGGTGCGGAAGACGCGGCAGGGCCAGCACTTGTGCTGCTGGAAGCGCTTGTTCGTGCAGCGCTGCCCGTTGGTGCAGAGCGGTCCGCACTCGATCATCAGCATGCGGTTGATGCAGCCGGCGCCGCAGCTGAGGTGGCCCTGCGCCTCCTCGTCGCCGGTGAGGAAGCAGTCGCACTGCATCTCCGCGTTCTCCTGGCTCACCTTCGAGGGGAATCCACCAAAGGATTAGTTACTTAGCCTTTGTGGGTGTTTAATGGTTACTCACCTGCCTGGCGCATCGGTAGTAGTTCTCTCGCAGCGGCTGGAAGGTGTTGAGGCCCTCGTTGCGGAGGAACTGCTCGTTGATCGCCTCAATGTTGGCCAGCTCCGCCAGCTGCTCGTCCATGCTGATTGGGGCCAGGGCCATGCTGGCCACGCCTCTTCCCTGGCTGGACCGCTGGCCCTGCGGCTTCTTCTTGATGCGATGCGAGCGCCGCACTCCGCCTCCCTCTCCTCCTCCGCCTCCCGTGCTGCTTTCCTGCGAGGGATTCGTGGTGGAGCCACAATCCTCGGGATTCGACTGCGTTGGCGAGGGCGAAGGCGTTGTGGCCGGCGTCTCCATGTTGGCCACTCGCTTCGCGAACTCCTCCTTCTCGGGATTCGCGTCGCGTGCTGCCTCCTCCTGCCCCTCCTCCCGCTGCTCGTCGTCCGCCTTGTAGCCGCGCTTCAGGAGATTCACGCCGTCCTCGATGAACTTGGCGATGTCGGACAGGGGGATCCCAGCGGCGCATCTTGCTGCCCGAGGAGGTGGACTCGGAGGACTCGGTCTCCAGGAGGGCGGCGTGCAGGGATTCGGCCGCCTTCTGCGACTTCTTCTTCGGGTTCCCCTGCGACGCACTCGAACTGGAGTCCAGCGAGTTCTGGCGACTCAGCACTCCCTTCGCGGCCTTCCGACCGCGCTTCTTTCCCGGCAACCGGAGCAGGGTGTCGTGGAGCGGATTGGCCGACGCCTTGGGATGCATCGAGAAGCGGCGCTTGGTCAGCGGAATCGTGGTGTTCGCGTCCGCCTGGCGATCCTCGCAGATGGTGTTGCGCCGCAGATCCCACTTGGAGCTGGTGCGCTTGGAGGAGCACTCCGAGGAGGAGGAGACCGGCGAGCTGGCCGCCACCAGCTCCTCCGTGGGCGTGCTGCTCTTCCTGAGATCCTTGGCCTCCTCGCAGATGGTGCTCCTCCTGGGATTCAGCTTCTTCTTGGCTCTCGATCGCTTCGGTTTCCCGGCGGACGTGGGCAGCTGCATGGAGTCGGAGCTCGGCGAGCTGTGCCGCTCGGGCTTGGGTGAATCCTCGTAGACGGTGTTGCGTCGCGACTTGGCAGCCTTGCTTCCCAGCGATTTGGAGTGACTTCCTCCGGCAGCTGGAGGGCCGGAGGCAACGGGAACGGGCGAGTCCACCTTTGGCGGGGGCTTCTTCTGCTTCTTCTTGCTCTTCTCCTCGAGACGCATCTGGGCATTGGCCTTGTCCATCGCCTTGAACATGGCGTCGCACTCCACGAAGCCAGGAGCGAGTTTCTCCTTGGATTTGCCAGTGGATGTGGGCTGTTCTCCCTGCGGCTTCTTGGCCACCTGCTCCTCCTTGGGGGCCTCTGGTGCAGATTCATTGGTCGGTGGGCCTTTCGAGATCTCTGGTGGCTCCTTCTTCGCTGAGTTAGCCCCTTCCGACGTGGCTTTGGCAGTTTCCTTTTCCTTCTTGTGTGCGGAATCAGTCGAGGATTTGTCCAGTTGCTCCTTTGCTGATGGAGCAGCTTCTGTTAGGGATTTATCCCTTTCGGTTTCCCTCTTGGAAGTGGAAGTGGCTTCTTTCGAGGATTTGGCAGTCTCTTTTTGTTTGGCGGAAGTGATTTCGTTTGCGGATTTCTTCGATTCCAATTCTTTTTCGGAAGCAGATTCTTTTGAGGATTTGGCTGCCTCCTTTTGCTTAAAAGAACTGGTTTCTGAGAGGGATTTCCGTGGGTCCTTGGGCTTCTTGAGCGGTACCTCCGCCGTGGACTTCTCCAGTTCGGCAGGTGAAGGGGTTTCGGGTTCTCCCTCCTTCTTAACCGCATCAGAATCGCTTTTCTCAGGTTCCTTCTCCGTCTTGAAGGGGAAGTCTGCATGGGTCTTCCTGCGCCTCTTCTTTGGCACGGCTTCCTTCTTCTGCTCCTGATCGACCTTGGCATCCCTCTTCTCTGCCACAGTTGATTTCCGCCTTTCCTGCCTCCTTTCTCTGGTTTCTGGCAGGGATTTCGGCATCTCCGAAGCGTTTCTGGTGCTCGTCTTCGCTGCAACGACGGCGGGCTTCTCCTCGCCGGCTGGTTCAGTCTTCAATGCAGTCACTTCGGTCGGGAATTCAGTCTCCAACGTCGCCTCCACTTCGGGCTGCTCCACTTTTGTTTGTGCTTCTCCGCTTTCCGCATCTCGGGTGTCAGCTTCTGGAGTTGGCATCGCAGGCGCCGCGGTGTCCACTTCGGTTTGGCGAATCCGCTCCGACTCGGGAACAGCTTCCTCTGGTTTCAGTTCCAATGGGCTTACAGCTTGGGGGAGTTCTCTATTGACCACCTCCAGCAGAGCTTCTTTACCTATTTCCTGCTCCTTGAGTTGTTCAGATGGTTCCTGCTCTGGTAAGATGTTTTCTTTGGGTGGCTTCGCTTCATCAATTGGATTTTTACCCGGTTCCTCAGCGGGCTGAACATCCACGGTGGGCGCTGTCTTGGTTCCAGTAGTCTCTTCTGGATTTTCGGCATCTTTGGAAAGCAGTTCTGGCTTAGGAACAGTGTTGACTACCAGTTCTTGGCCTGGAGCCACTTCGATGACCAATTCGGATTGTGGAACTGCTTGGGTAACCAATTCTGGCTTCGCAACTACTTCAATGGTTAATTCTTCTTGCGATACAGCTTCAGTTTCATCCTTCGCCTCAGGGATGACTTCTTTCGCAACAGGAGCCATCTCTTCAGACTCCGGAGCCACTTCTTCCACCTCCAATGGAACTGGCTCGACCACTGGTGGCTCTGGCTGAGCTTCATTAAACGCCTCCCGCTCAATGATGATTTCCTCAGTCTCCTGCATTGACTTCATCTCGGCTTCCACAGCGTCCACCTCGATATTCGCGATGATGGACGACTCCGACGGCTGACTCTGGCTGTCCTCTATGAGATCGATGAGCACGTGCTGCTCCTCCTGGTCCTGCGACTCCTCGGCGGCCAGGATCTGCTTGCTGCTCTCGGCGGCAATCTCGGCGAACGTCTCCTCGAGCGTCTTTCCCTGGCGACCGTTGCCCTGTGGCTGCGCGGATCTTCTGCTGCGGCGTGGCGCTGGCGAGGATGACTCGGCTTCCGGTGGACTGGCCCTCTCCACTGCCACATCCACATCCACGTCCCGCTCCTCCTCGGCCTCGTCGTCCGCCGACCAGAGGCTATTCGGCCCACTTAGCACCTCCACCATTATCTCCTCGAGATCTTGTTCCGGATCGGAAGCGGGACCCTGCTTGTCCACCGCAATGTCGAGCACCAGAGGCTCTCCCTCGGCTGGTGGCTCCTGCTCCTGCTCCTCCGCCTTGGAACTCTCCGATTCGATCTCGATAAAGATGATCTGCGAATCGGAATCGGAGTTATCCTCGGCGACGATGATTCGCGACACCTCCTGCTCCTTGTCGGGCTGCTCGTCCAGTGCGTTGTCGTCCTGCAGGGCCGGCGGTTCCACCTCGGGCGACGAGGATGAAGGCGAGTTCGCCGAATCGGAGGACTCCTGCCGGCGGGACAGATTCAAGCGCTTTAGCGAAACCCTCAGCTTGGATTTGGGCTTCCGTTTGGCAAAGTCGGCTGCCTCGCCGCTGTCGCCACTGCTGCTGCCGGTGGAAGTGCTCGTGCTGGTGGAATTGGTGTCCGAGTCCGAGCAGATGGGCACAATGGCCACCGGAGCAGCTGCTGTTTGTTGCTGTTGGACCTCCGCGAGGGGCTGACTTTTCCGGGGACGTCCTCGCTTGCGGGCGGCCACCACTGGCGGCTGGTTGGCTGGAGTCTGGAGGGGATTGGCCGGTTCGCTGGTCACCTGGGCCACGATCAAACTCTGCGTGGGCCTCGGCTTGGCGAAGATTTCCAAAGCGGGCGGCGGCGGTGGCGCCGGCAGCGATTGGTGGCTGCCATCGAACATGGAGAACAGGCGGCTCACCGAGGATGCCGATGCGGATGCAGATGTGGATGCCCCAGAGGAGTGGGGATTGGGATTCGAGTCGATGCGCGCCTCGATCTGGATCTTGTGCGCCTTGCGATTCTTGTTGAGCAAATCGCGGACATCGAACTTGATGATCTTCTTGCGCGAACTGCGCCGACACTCACTCTGCCCGCTATCCGGATCCTCCAGCTGCGGACTGGGCGACGGATCCCTTGGCGGATTGGGTGGCGTGGCCAGGGCGGCAGATGCTGCTATTTTCGGCGGACGACCGCGTCCGCGGCCACGTGACGCAACTGCAGCGGGAGTGATCGGAGTGGAGTCCTCCATTTCGCAAGAGGGCGTGCGGGGCGGGGAGTGAGGTCACAAAAAACGGAGCACGGCGATAAGCGGCTGCTGCAGTGGAAAACACACGCTACTGAGGTCCTTTTCTAGTGTCCAATTTACAGGGCAATCTGTGCTTGTTGTGCCATCGTGCGGTAAAATTTACAGCTAGCTTCCAACTGCACTTGCTGTCAGACACACACACACACCAACACCGACACCAACTCACAGACACATCCTTCGATTTTTCTCTGCCCTCCGCTCTTCTTCCTCTTCCTTGTTTACGCACTGGCACGTGGCCAGTGTTGGAAAGGCGTTGCGGCTTGCGTACCTGGGAAACGTACTGTAGGGGTGGCTTTAAAAATATGTACCTTCTACTGTTTTCTTTGGAGTTCATATAAATGTAGCGTTAATTATAATAGTTGATTAATAAACAAATTAACAATTTTCTAACTTTTCAGTTTTTAAGGGCATGCACGTTGAAAATAATTTATATAGTTTTAAATTGTCAAGTAAGGCAAAGCCACCTCAGTTAATATTGTTATACAAATTTGCCCGTCTTTGGTTACCCGAAATTCGTCTTTGGAAAAAGTTTTCATAATATACATTAAGTGATTATAATTTTTTTGTATATACAAGTTTTTTTTAAATAATTTATTAACACCAGTAAAGCCGTTGATCTACAATAATGAAAATGAATAAGTTTCAGTTTTTAACAAGGCAGTTAAATAGTTCTTCTTTTTTTTTGCAATAGATTACACATTAGCTTTAAACCTATCAATTATAAATATTTGATATAAAAATATTCTCAATATTTAAAAAATGGAACATAGGTACATATATTACCATTAGTTTACCAGCACTATATAAAAGATGGCAGTGACCGAACCTATCGATAACAAATATATAATTTCAAATTTAAATGCGGAATTCGTTACTTGGTTATCTAAAATATATGGTCACACTGAAAGAGTTGTGTGTGTGAGTGAGAGAGGGCGAAAGCTTTAAAGGCGGATAGCCAAAATAAATTTAAAATAAACGTTTCACTTCATTTTTAATCTTCAATGTCTCAAAGTTAACAACAAATGCGAATTGTTTATAAAACGTAATACAAGTAAGCTTTTACCAAGCCGGCCGGCTAAAGTCGCACACACGAATGCCAATACAGCTGGAAAATAGAAAAATCGAAGTGCGGTAAATGTCAAGGACGACGGAAAAGCCACAACAAAGGGGAAAACTACGAAGTGAGATAGAGAGAGAGCAACAACTGAGAAAGTTGTAAAGTAAAACAAGAATTTTAAAAATATTTGTGGAATAACTTAGCAAAAGACCGTAAACATGTCGAATCCGGCACACGGAAGACCGCCAAACAACTCCGGCTCCTCGTCCTTGTCCGCCTCGTCCTCCTCCTCTTCTGCCGCCCCCTCGCCGATTTCGGTGACCGTGCAGCCTGGAAACTCTGGAAACAGCTCCTCCCCCTCCTCCTCGTTGGGCGGTGGAATCCTAAAGGACAAGGTGGGAATGCCGCCGGTTTACCTCAATCTCAATGATGTAAGTCCCACGTCCTAGTAACTTGCTAGCTCCTCTTTGCATTCCTGGTCCTTTCCTGCAGAATGCCAAGGATCAGACAACACCGTCCTGTTCACCGCTGCAAAACTGGGACGACACCCGCACCGCCGACGTCTGGCTGTCCTCGCTGCACAGCGTCATCTTCATCATCACCTGCGCCCTGGCCGCCTTCATCCTGTTCCGCAACGTGCTCACCTGGTAACTATCCGGATTCCAGAGAGAATACATCCAGATTCTTAAGGGAATTTATTTGAAAGCCACTAAAAAATGATGAGAACTTTTAAGGAATAATTATCCGGTTTCCGGAGAGGATTTGCTTTCTTTTGAATTTGGCGCTCTCTATTCAAATGTGCTCTAATGTTCACTCATTCATCATTTGATCCGATCTCGGAGGTTCCATACCCATAAGTTTTATCTCAACGCATTAACGATTTAGTTTAAACCTGTATTATAAACCCAAAGGCTCTTAGCAAATTAGTATAGTTTCCCTAGATTAAGCATTTCCAACTGTCCGTGTTTTATTATACCCGGATTTACCGAGGAGAATACAACATTTTTATTTGTTTAAGCCATAGTATTCTTATTTCTAAGGCTCTCTGACCCCAGATTAGTCTATTCTATAAAAGTTTAATTTATTCGAAATTGCACTATCTTGTCATGAAAAGAGAGTAACTGAAATATGTCCGTCTGTTTGTTTACTTGAAAAAGCTTTGGGTTGCGGATTCCGATTTTATTACAGACCTTTCCGAAGGGTCTTTTGGGTACCTTTGCCCAAATAATTATAGATTCCCAGATACAGAAAACAATATATTTATGCAGAAGAAACAATATGCAAGAGCAGTCCAGGCTTCGGTTCCCGAAGGTAGACTTTCTTCTCCACTCCCTCGCTCTCTCTTTTTTTGGCGAGAGTCGGGAATTAAGCCGAGCTTTGATTCGGTTAGCTGCGCTTTTCCACGCGATCCGGCGATCAAATTCGCCAGTTGCGTTTGCGACGCTCAGTAGCAGAGTCGAAAAGCACAGGGCAACCGAGCGAAGAGTCGGGAGAAAGCCAATTCTACAAGAATCCGAACACACAAAGAGTGCCAGCCATGGAGGATAAATTCATGGAGGTTTCTTATATCTACGCCAGGCATCTGCAGAGCTTCTGGGGCGCCTCCGGGGACTTCTGGCAGTCGCAGTGGGACAAGTTCATCGACTCGTTCGGTAAGTGAAATTAAACAAATAGTGCAAAATAGGGAAAAGGGGGAGAAATTAATGGGGAAGGGTTCAGGTGAATGGCGAGGGAACGGGGGAGGTGACAAACTAAACTTTGCTCCTCTCTTTGTGCTTATGTGATATTGTGCAAATTGCAATTCTCAGCCAGCGGCGACAAAAAATGTCAACATCAACTGTTTTGTTTACTAATTCCATCGCACAGACACAAAGATACGGATACAAAGATAAAAAGATACAAACACAAGTGCGGGCAGAAGTGCTGCCAATTACGAATATGATTCGCCGCGTTACTCATTCGAATTTGAATTCGTCAAATGTAAAGTACATAAGCCGAAATTATTTTGAATTATTACCATAACTTTATTTGTCCATTGCAAATATTTGTGCATTGCACAATGGGCTCAATGTTCCTAGCTCATCGCTCTGAACTTTGGTTAACTTACCTTGCTGAAACACAAAGCGAGAAGCTGTTGAACAAACAGGCTTCTCTATATAATATCAATGTGATTTATCATGGGTCTGTTTAATTGTGGTTCCTTATAGCCTTAACAATTTACAATTCACACCGTTTATTGCCTTAATGCATCTCCTATATTTTGTCTTTATGGGTTTATTCGCCAGCTTTACTATATAAAAGTATAAAGTATGCAGATGGTATAAACATTCATAAGCTTTAAAAACAAGCTGCTTAATTGCTATTTATTGTGGCTCAATTGAAGATGTGGGAATTATATAATCTTATGTGGATATTATTATCCGTTGTATATAATTAAAAATTACAAACATCCAGCTCTTAATGATGAGGAAAATACATGTTAACCTATGTATGACCAGTTTTATAAATAATGTACTTTTAATATTTGCAAAGGTCATAAATAATCTCTTGCAGAATTTGTTTCTATATTTATATATTTAAACTGCATCATTCTTCCAGGCGATGAACCCATGGTGCTGTGGGTCTTTGGGACCACTATTTTCACGATGATCGTCTACTGGACCGTGGGCACACTGTACACATTCATGGACCTGACCAACCGGCCCGCCTGTCTGCGCAAGTACAAGATTCAGCCGGGAACCAACGAACCGGTGGAAGTGCGTCGCCTGCTGAAGGTTTGCTACCCATCGAAATGGCTGTCGAGATTTAATTGACCCCTGCACTTGACCCCCCATTTTAGGTGATTTGGTGCGTGGTCTGCAACCAGATCTTCGTGGGAATACCGCTGGCCTACGCCAGCTACCGGCTGATGGAGATCCGCGGACTGAGCGACATCCGCGACCTGCCCACGTTCCACTGGGTCTGCTTCGAGCTGACCGTGTGCATCCTGATGGAGGAGCTGGGCTTCTACTACTCGCACCGCCTGCTGCACCACAAGCACATCTACAAGTACATCCACAAGCAGCACCACGAGTGGACGGCCCCCATTTCGGTGACGGCCATCTACTGTCATCCCATCGAGCACATCTTCAGCAACCTCCTGCCGCCCTTCCTCGGCGTCTTTCTCATGGGCAGCCATGTGGCCACCGCGTGGCTCTGGTTCGCCCTGGCCATCCTCTCCACGCTCAACGCCCACTCCGGCTACCATCTGCCGTTCTTTCCCAGTCCCGAGGCACACGACTTTCACCACCTCAAGTAATTATTTGCTTTAATGCAATTACTTCTCGGAGTAGTTAGACAAAATCTCTAGATGTTATAAACCTCCTAAAAAAATTACTTAAGATAAAGGCCAAATGCAGATGTTCTATATTTTAGGACACCCTTTTAGTTACCTTTTTAGATGGTTTCATACCACCAACTTAAGAGATTTGTATGCCACTTGTACATATTTGCTTGTCAAAAGAGCCACTGACATCTCTTAAATCCTAAAACCTCTGAAAAAGCATCTAAAAGTATGATAAGATGTATGTTTTAAATCTAAAAGTTCTACTGTCATTGGAGTTGCGATGCATTTTAGACCTCTAGAGATTTCTGTGGCCTCCTTTAAATATTAACCTATAACAAAAGAATTTGAAGATAATTTTACCCTGACCTTCCTACAGATTCAACAACTGTTTCGGCGTGCTGGGCGTCCTGGATCGCCTCCATGGCACCGACTCCCTGTTCAGGGCCACCAAGTCGTATGCGCGCCACATCATGATGCTGAGCTTCAAGCCGCCTCGCGATGCTTTCCCCGATCCGACGATGAAGTGAGCAGACCGACAGACGGTGTTTCTTGTGCACTGCAAACGGGCACTTCACCATCTGTGTATACAAATTTTAATTGTGATATGACAAGGCAGATCCTATTTTGTACACCTCATATGTAGTCGTTGTGCAGACCCCTAGAATCCCGCACACGCGAGCACCGCTCCCCCAGAGCGAATCCCCCACAAATGTTAATCGAGTCGAATAAAGCGTAAATGTAAATGTATAGAAAAGGCGAGGAAGTTGGCGCTATCTGTGAAGGAATGTCAGTAACCAACATTAACAAGGTTTCTCTGGTTTAACAATCATAAGCGTACTTTATATACGAATAATTAAGATACATATTTAACAACTAAGTTCTAAAGTTATACATAAGTTTTTTTCGCAGGAAAACAAGGATGTACAAATTATGGGGTTAGAGAAAAAAAAAGAAAGAAAGTATAGTTATGGGAGGGCTAAAACTTAATGGATAGGGGAAGAGCACATATAATCACAAAAAAAAAAGTCAGGGGTTAAATAGTCGAACGTCTTAGGGAACTAAACAAGATTTGTGGACAGTCCGAGGGTGGACGGGTCCCTCGGCTATTGCTTCACCGCCTGGGCGACGCCCTGGTGCTGCCCACTGCCACTGCCCTTCAGCTTGGACTCGAACTCCCCGAGGACCTCCTTGTAGTGGGGACCCAGCTCCTCGCGGACCGTCTCGTACCAGCGGGCCAGCTTGTTGCGGTTCTGGAAGGTGTTGTACCCAATGGACTCTGCAAGGAGAAAGGTAATTTCAGATATAGTACAACATTTAACTACTTTCTTAAAAAACAATTTGAAATAATTAGATTTAATTATTATAACAATTGCCATATTCCTCATTTGGGCTTTAACGATTTTTTATTATTATTATGTATAGAAATTATCCACAATTAACGATTTTTATTACAAACTAATAGATTTATAAATGCCTCCCTTCTTTCAAATATTTTGCAGTATTTAAGTCAGTAAAATTATTTTAGTAAGATCATTCGAAAGCAATAAATGTAAATTGCAGGCTTCTATTAACTTTTCTACTAAAACAAAGATTATTTTTTACCTTCTTTAAAAATGCGAACTAGTTATAATTTAAACGAGAAATGTATCATGTAGTTGAGAAGGAACGAAGGGAACCTAATTGAAACAATTAACATATCTTTGCTGTTTTTAAATACATACCAATTATATTACACATTCGTTAATTCGTTAATACTGTGTAGTAAATTAAATTTAAGAGGTATAGTCATTTTACAGACTTTAGCTTTAGCTTTAGGAAGCCAGTGGCATTTTCTTCTTTTCCTTGCTTTTAGTGGAAGTGAAGGATACTCACTTGGCTGGTCGATCTCGCAGATGGCGCTGAGGTCCGCGTAGGAGATGTTGTCGCCCAGCATGAACTTGCGGGAGTTGAGGAAGAGCTGCTCGAACTCGTTGAGCGTGTGCTCCAGCTGCTTGCTGGCGAGATTCACCTGAAATGGCCGGAGATCGGGGGTTAGTTGGGCCACAGTCGGATCATCGGGAGCGCGGTCACCTACCGCATTGTCGGCTGGCCGGGTCTTCTGCAAATAGGGCACCAGCCACTTCTGCTGGAAGTACTCCGTGGTGGCCACGCCCATGTTCGTCTGCTGCCAGGCCAGGTACTCATCGATCCTGCTGCGTCCGAGGTGGCGCCTGGGATACCAGTGCTCCGGCACCAGCTTCTCGCGGGAAAGATGCCGGAAGATGGCCACGTTCTCGGACAGCTGGAAGCCGTGATCCGTGATCGCCGGCAGCTTGCGGAACCGGTTCACATTGTCCCGGAACTCGCCAGTCAAGTGCTCACCTGGAATTGGCCAAGAGAAAGGGGTGAGAAGGTGGGAAGGTGATCCGGTGAGATAATAATAAGCCCATTAAAAATATAATCCATGTTGAAATCTAATAACATCACAAAACTTATTAGTTTCGTTTAAAGCGGAAAGGTTTTGTCTTCCATTTGGTTGTCACACGTTCCGAGAGATTAATTTACAAAAAGAAAAAGCTGATCATTTATCAAATATCAATTTCCTTATGAGTAATTATTTTTGTCCATTGACACTTTAATCTAGTAACATCAAAGGTTTTAAAAGTATTACTCACGTTATTTTAAATCTATTTAAAACATGGTTAACATTATTAGTCACTTGTTTACTTGGCAGCAATTTGATAAATTATAGTCGCTTATCAAATAATATTTGATTGTTGTTTTTTGAGATAGGTTGATTTTTGACAGTACAACATTTGCCCTCAAATAAAAAACACTTTTTTAAATTATTGCTTATTATTTGCTTTCACACTATTGTAGGAGTATATTTATACATGCTTTAAAGATCGAAAAAAATAAGATTCGTTTTTTTTTTATCAAATTGGCTGTTCATAAACTCTCTATAGTAACAATTAGCCATTCCCAAACACGTTCTATGTATTTTTAATTTAAACTTCCACTCATAAATTTGATAATTATTTTCCGTTCTTGAGCTGCTGCGGCAATCATCCGATCGGCGGAACGCCTGATCCAAACGAGATATTGCTAGACGAAAACAGGTGAATCACTGGAATCACGGGCCAAAAGTTTGGGGAACCGATAGCGATAAGGAGGAATGGAAAAAATATTGCCCTCAAAAGAGGGGCGTGTCTGGCCGTGCGAAAGGCAAAGTCATTGTCAATGTCGCAAGTTGGCCCACCAAGGTCACGAAAGTGGAGTGGAAGTCCCATAAGAGAAGCTTTTCCGGGGAGTGAGAGTGGGAAATCGTGCGGCACTTGCGGGGCTTTCGACTCTATAAATACATCCGTTCCGATTTGGATTCTGGATGGGTGCACAAACAAATCGGAGGGCCACTCCCACTCCCACTCCCACTCCACGCCATCCCATCATGATTCGGGTGGTGCGAATAAACAAAGAAATTAACTGAGCATTTCATGGAAAACTAATTGATTAAACAGCAACTGTGATTCCCGGCATCAGCTGATTGGATTCGAAACAGCAGTGGCAATTTTTCAATCTTATAATTGCTGTCATTTGGAAAATTAAAGCGGCATATGACGGCTCTAGTCGATAGGGACTGCAGGTCCATCCAAAGGGTGACTCGTGAGTGATTCGTGATTGACTGACTGATCAAGATTGCAGCTGCCCACGAATTGCATCGAAAAGCCACCGGAAGCGGGGGGATTATTATCGCAGGTGAATTGTGGCTACAGGCAATTAAAGGCAGCTTGCTTAAACTGGTTGTTAACTCATTATCCCCAATCTGCCATGAACATCTTTAAAGGTTTACAGTCATAGTCTGTCCCAAAAACTGTAGATATAGTATACAAGTAGAAAGCCCTATAGTTATTTACCATAAGCCTCTATAATAAACCTTTATAAACTGCTCCGTTCTCTAGGAACTCAGCGGGCAACCAACAGATTACTTTGAAAATCGGTACATGAACTTTTATAAAGGTAACAAGACTGCATACCAACCCATACAAAAAAAACCCATTTGTAAGCACCCCACCAACCTAATATGACCTCTTGTAACTCAGCTGCTAGCCTATAGATTACTTTAAAAATCGCTGTAGGAACTTTTAGAAAGTTGACAAGACTGCATACCAACCCGTGCAAATATATACCCATTTATAAACACCACACCAACCCAATATGACCTCTAGTAACTCTGCTCTCAGACCATTGATTGCTTTGCGAATCGCTAGGGCCACTCGTAGATAACTATCCCGAGGGCATACCAAATTGGGTTAGAAAATATCAATTTTTATGACGCCAATAGAGCAATCGCTGGCTTTACTCGATTTCCACTTGATCCGAATTGCAGTGGAATCGTAAACTCTCGACCAGATTAGATTCCTTGCGTCATGCTCGGGCGGCATGAAAACCAACTGAGCAACCGGGTGAGCTGGGCAGAAACACCGGTGGAACAAGAGCTCCAACTACAACTACTACCACTACTGAAAAGTGCTTGCCCCCGCATCGGAGTCTTTAACCTCCACAAGGTTGTCTCCACTCGAATGCAGCGACGACTCTGATTTCTAAGCTCCGCAGAGCTCTCCGATCTCTCGGCTCTCCGGAGTGCAAAGTCCAACTGGCGGTGCAAAAAGATAAAAAAAAACAAAACAAAAACTATATATGCATATGTTATATGTACTAGTATGTATAAGGAAAGAGCGGACCTGATATACATATAGAGGAGTGGAAAGCTCTCCTTGGGATTAGCATAGCGAATATCCCGAGCCGATATCAGATGCGGATATTAATTTACCAGACTGACGTCAACCGAGAAATGCAAACCCGACCAGATTTACACCCGATTATATATGCAGCCGTTAATGGGCAGCAGTCTCTCCGATGGCTGCTGGCTGATTGCATCCTCGCATCAATTCTGCACTTTATGGCGCTTCCGCAACCTTGACCAAGTGGAAAACGAACGAACAGCACGCAGAACTCGAAGACCCCGCGCCCCTTTCAATTATGGAGTCTTTCAACTCGCCAAAGTGCTAAGCGCACGCGCAGCTTGCCAAACAAACTGACAAAACATCAACAGATAGAAGAAAAACACAAACGAATGGTGAAGAAAAAAAAGAGCACACTAGCAAACACAACAGCAAATCTGAAAAAAAGTTATTGATAAGTGTCCCAGTTTGGCGAGCAGGTGATAAAACCAGCGCAAAGATCGGTTTATAGATTCCCAGCAGAGTAAACACGACCAAAGTGCACTTTGGTTTTTCGGGTACAGTCAAACTAAAATAGCTAGTAATGAATAATACTCAATCATTCCGATTATGATGAATTCAAAAGATACGATTTATACGTGAAAAACTATAAACTTCAAGAGGTTTATGGTTTGGGCTCAAAACAAACGACTTGTACATTGTATTATATTGTAATTTTGCTTTCAAGAGGTTCGACTGTTTGTTTTCGCAGCGGTTTTGCAGGCAGGCGATAAAAGCGTGAATCGAAAGCGATTAAGCGGTTTTAGGATGCCCCATAGGGTTAAGTTTAACAGTAAACACGTTCAAAGTGTACCGTACCGCCTGCAAAATGCCTGATCACTCCAAAATTTTCTAAATTTTCTGTATTTTTGCAATCGTTTTAAAGGAAACCTCACGTCTGAATTGTGGTAAACAAATTCCTATTTTTGGCAAATAAATTAATGGAACCATCACGTTTGTTGTGAACTAATAAATTCATTAATCTTTGGAGTGTACAATCTCGAAACTCAATTCTAGTGTGCCAGACTTGTGCGATTGTTTTGAGATTAGGTGACACTATTCAAATGATTCGCCTGGCTGCGGCTGCAACGGCTGCCCACTTTCGCCTTGGAAACTTTTCGGCTTGAACTGTGGAATTTTTAACGAGCGGAAAATTTATTTGGAAACTCTCCGTCCGTCCGCCGAGTCGAAAAATATCGAAAACCGACGAGCGGCGAACAAAGGGGCAGCATAAATGCATGGGAATGTGTGACAATCCATGGGTCGGGGTCGACCTTTGGGCCCCAGACCCTACTTGTTTGTTTCTTTGATTGTTTATACTTATTTCGAGTATCTTGAGCGTCGTGTGCGTGAATAGGGGCACGTACTCACCTTTGAGCATCGAAATGGGTATGGCCTCGAAGGGAATTTTGGAAGCCTCCAAAAGGATATAGAGCGCCCGGCTCGATTGGTTCAGAAAATCAAAGTAGAACTTGAGTGGCTGCGACATCTTGATGGCTTTGTTTTTCTTCTTCGCTCTGCTAGTGACTCCAACTGTGACTAGTCTTAGTTGCGGACTAAAAAAAAAAATCTGCAGATCCCAATCCAAATTCGAAATTCCTGATGATTCGAAACTGCGATCGCTGGGAACCGGACTGTTGACTGTTGGATTTTTGCTGCCGAACTGAGCTCGCAGCGCTGTCGCTGCGACATTTTAAACGCAACGCACGCCGTCGACGCCGACTGCGCGGCGGCAGAGGCAGCGGACTTGAGGCGCAAGAAGGGGGGTTTTTGGGGGTGGGGGAGGCGCATTCATTAAATGCGCCGCAAAAACAAGCCAGCAAAGCGGCTGAGCTGCCGCAGCTCAGCGATCACAACAAGACGCGAACGAATGAAAAAAAGGCGAACACAAAAAACAAAAACAGAGACAAAAAAGACCGGCTTCTTGTTCATATATTGCACATGGCCCCCTGTTCCCCCAGCCCCTGCTCCATCGCCCCTTCTGCGACGACTCTGCCTGGCGCTGTCTGTACTCTCTCGACGAATTCGGAAAACGGGACTTCGCGACTGAGCTTCCCACTCAAAAGAGGGTGTGGCCCCCAGCAAGTGATCGTGGGATTTTGGATACTGGATACCCAAACCGACCTATGGTAACTCGAAAAATAACCACCCGAATGATCTGGAAATGAATTGTAGCGCTCTTTGGAGATTTTCTAGACCGCATACCAAAAATCGTGTTGACAGTCACGTAAACAAGTTGGCTGTAAGAGGTTCAAATATTCAATATGAAATGAAATTTTTTGATGGTGTAATAAAACTGAAGGTTTTTATACACATCAATCTTGAAGGATACAAAATCGCAAAATATACTTTATATAAATATTTATTATTTATTTTCGATCATTTTCGAAAAAGAGTATTTCACGTGCGCCGTGCTCGTGAATTTTCTCGCTGTTTGTTTTGCTTTCAGTGTTTTGTTGCTGCGGCTTTTCTTGTTTTTGTTTTGCTGGTTTCTTTTGCCTTCGGTCTTCGGCTTTGCCTTTTGCCTTTTGCCTTTGTACTGGACTATCTTCGATATACCTATCTGATTCGGGCGTTATCTGGCAGCGATTTCCAATCAGAAAACGCTAAGTATTAATAGGTATTTAGAAGATTCCAGCTCCACCATCTCCCCCACTTTTCGTATCTCCGCCTTGTTATGTTATCTTGTTTACCGAAACGGAGCCAATGGCAAATATACCATACCATACCATTCCATACCATACCAACAAGACCCAGAACCAGACCTCCTATGTACACATATCGGTCAGCGAATTGTTTTTGTTTAACCACAGAACTGATAAAGCCAAAGTGCCTTGTCTTCGGATGTATCTGTATCTCTAAGATGCATTCGCTGTCACAAGTGTCTGTACAAGGTGGCACAACAGTTGGCACAAAGATACTGCAAGTGCACTTCACTCGCAGAGAGCTTGACCAAGTGGTATCAAGCCTCAAAATAAGCAATATATAGCCAATGATCAGCTGTTTTGAACGTGCATCGCCCGAAGATTTGAAGTCCAAGGGAAATTCCCATCTAAAATTCCACAAACTACTAGTTAACATTACAATGCATATTTTTTAAGGAAAATAGATACCTTTGAGAACCAAATGTACCCCAATGAACTATAACTTACTTTGGCAAAGCAAAGTTCTTACACCATTGCACTTTTTTTTAACAAGTATTTTAACACAAGAACGCAATTAATTTAGTCGGTCCAATGTTGCAATTACATCTACTAACTTTTTGAATTCTTATACTTAACAATTAAATACATATATATTTAATTGTTAAGTTGTTATTTCCAAATAAATAAAAATAAGAATTTCCGCAACTATAAATCTTATAGATTATTAAGTTTAACCTACAACTCCACCTTCTATTTTTGACGAGATAGATTTACAACTCAAAGTAAAAGAAAAGATAGTCGTACATACATGGCTTATTCGATTCAGATAGTGATGCTGATCAAGAGTTAATATATTTTATGGGGTCTTAAGTGTCTCCTTTACTTCCTTGCAAACGTCTTTTAATTTCGTTAAACAAAAAAAATATAATTCTTACATTCTCCCCGACGGGGAATTGAACCCCGGTCTCCCGCGTGACAGGCGGGGATACTAACCACTATACTATCGAGGATTGGATACATCCAGGGCTGTTCGAAAATAGCTGCAACCGACATTGATAAGATTAGAACAGTATTGTGTAGTGTGTATAAATAAATTTGCTTTGGCCAAACAGTTTATTCCTTCAAACAACTGATGATCCCGACCAAGAAGTAAACAGAATGAGGTTAGGTTTAAAATAGGGAGATTGGTTTATTGATCCTTGATTTATGAGTTGACTTTGTGATGATTTTACTTATTTTAAAGTTGTTCTGCGTGCATTAAAACTTCAAAGTGTTAGTAAAACTGAACATGTGTATATTATAAAAAGATTTGTACAAAATTGATTATTAAAAAATTATTACAGATTCTAATGACATAGACATGTACTTATTTTACTGGTCATATTAAAATCACAACAAAAAATTACTTAAAAGAATATTACACGCATTAGGATGTCCTGCTCCTTTCGTACCCAATAAGAACATTTAAATTAATCTAATCTTAAGCAATAAAAAAAAAAAAACAAAAATGTGACAGAAGTATTGTTTATAAATTTAAGTCCTATTCATGCTGATTCTAAATTCAAATAGTTTGCACTGAACATGTGTAAAAGATAAAAAAGTTGTACAAAATTGCTTATTAAATTTATTCTAGATTCTAATGACATAGACATGTACTTATTTTTTTGGTCATATTAAAATCACAAACAAAAAAATTAACTTACAAGAATATTACACGCATTAGGACAATAAGAACATTTAATTTAATCTAATCTTAAGCAAACAGAAATAAATACAATTGTGACAATACATAAATTTATTACTTATTCTTAATTTAAACAATATATAAAATTATTACTTAATTCCTAATCTTAATCTTAACTCTTAATTCAAACAGTTTAGCTGGCAAAATCGATCCCAAGATTTTCCGGGCCAAATCGGAAGGCCTTTTACTTGGTCCAGGTTTTGGAACCCATTCAGCCGGGATCTAAATAATAAGATACAATTTATTCGTTAAATCAATCAATCGAAACTCGATATTTACCTGTGGATGGTTAAGGCGAAGGCTGTCTTCGGACCGATCCCGGGAAACTTTTGCAGATCCCTCAGACTCCCGGTGTTTAAAGTGTTGAAAAAGGATCTTATATGGTTTTCCATCCAATCTTGCGCTTCTAGGTTCACCTGCCTCGATCCGCCACTTTCCGCCTCTTCTTGGACACTTGTTTGAGGAACAGCCCCAACCTGCGACATCTGAAGCGTTTGCTCCGCCTTTACGAAGCTGGCAATGGAGGCTTCCCGTTTTATCGCCAGCCGCACGCTGCGCCGCAAATTGCCCTCGCTTTCGGTTTTTTGAAAGCTAGCTAATCGCGTGGAGCGACGCACGGGGCGGGACGTGTTTGGACGAGGCTCCAAGGCCTCCTGTATCGGCTCGATCCCACTGAGTTCCTGCTCTGTGGTGGATGGCCGCACACTGACTTCGGCGTTGAAGAGCTGGCAGCGAAGCCTGGCGGAGGTGGTTGGCTGGGCGGGCTCAACGGGCTCCTTCTCTGGAATGGCCATTGCGGTGGAGTTCAGGCAAGTGGTTTGTATTACGGGTCTGGCGAAAGGTGGCGGCATTAGTTTCTGGTCGGTTTTGCCTTGCAAAGCCACCGAACTAAGGTTGCTATCGGAGAAGTGAATGGATGAGAGCTCCATTGTGGTGTCCTCCATTTGCAAGACCTCGCGAGCCCTTGTGAGAATCGAAATTAGGATTATGCTTCAGCGATTCAAAGTAAGTTTTCCGCCCAACTCACCTTTTCTTGGCCTTGGGGGTCATGCCCATATCGGAGCGCGTTCGCTTGAGCATGTTCGGCGTTGGTTTACCCAATCCGGGCTTCGGATCGGGAACAACCGGGCTGCTCTGATTGGCGGCCTGGCGTTTGATGGCCGTCGAGCTGCTTAGCACCCGGCGGAAGGTGTGTGGCGTCCGTGCGGCCAGAAGATGCTGAAATCAGAGCGAGATGGAGGCATGAAACTCGAGTAAGTGCATCATTCGACTTGCGGTCGCTGCGGTTGCGCTTAGTTCTCCATATAAACGAGTCAAACTCGGGGCGGTGCCGTAGTGTGCAATGGAACAGTCCAGCGAAAGGCAGCCGGCGGTGGAGCAGGAAGATCGCCAGAGCGAGGAACTTTTCGAAGAGGAAGCGGATCAAGGGAAGGTACTGGCAGACCCTACGGAAAATAGCCCAAATAGTGTGCAGAATCCAAATGAACGAGAGGAGGAAGAAGATCGAACGGAGGAGGACATTGCAAAGACATGTGAAGATGAGCCAGTCGACATAGAAGAAATTGAAGAAAAAACAGAAATAGAGAGCGATTCAAATTCAGAGGAGAATCAGGAGCAGGAAGAATTGGAGAAAGGGGAATGTAAGCAGGAAGGTATCGAATCATTGTCTACAGAAGAAAAACTGGAAGTTAAAACTGCGGAAGAAATAATTTTGGAAAGAGAAGAGCTTAAACAAATAGAGGAATTAGAAGAAGAGCTCCCAGAACCAGAAAAAATTAGCGAAGATCAGATTGTTGAGGAAGAAGACATCCCCAAAGAAGACATCCAAAAAGAGGAACAGTTGGAAATAAATCTGGAGGATCAGGCAAACAAAGATGCTTTGGAGGAAGATCAGGCATTAAAAGAGGAGCTTCCTGAAATCCAAGAAAACAAAGATCAGCTGACACAAAGTCTTGAGGATCTGGCGGAACAAGTGATTCCAGAGGAACCTGCAGGTGATGATTCAGAAAAAGATCTGGAGGGAGCTTCACAGGAAAGTAAACTACTACCTGACACTGAAGATGAGCTTAGCAAACAGCAGAATAAGGAAACTCCGGAGAGAATTGAGGAAGAATTAATTCCAGAGGAAGCTGCAGGTGACGTTACTGAAGAAGATCGGGGGGAATCTTCCCAGGAAACCAACAAACCGGACACCCAAGATAAGCTTAGCCAAGTGCAAAATAAGGAGAATCTGGACAGCATTGAGGAACAAGTAAATCCAGAGGAAGCTGCAGGTGATAATTCAACAGAAGGGCAAGAGGAATCTCCACGGGAAACCGAACTATCGGACTCCCAAGAAGAACTTAACCAAGAGCAGAATGAAGAGAGTCCGGGCAAGATTGATCAGCAACAAGAGAGCATTCCGGAAGAGCAAGAGGAGGAGGCTTCGAAGCCAGAAGAGGACCTCCCCAACGAGCAGGTTACCCAGTTCCTCCGCCAGCTGGTCGTCCAATTGTGGCCCGAACTGGGAGCCAATCCAGAGCTCCGATTAAATCGAGCCAGTGCCAAGGGCGACAACTATTTGGGCGTGGTCTGGCGGCTCCAAGTGGCTTCCGAATCGAAACGCAGCCTGGTGGTGAAGCTGCCGCCGCAGAATCGCGTGCGTCGCAAGCAGTTCTTCGCACGTCCGTGTTTCTTGCGGGAAACGAAAGCCTACGAGGTGTTCCTGCCGCTCGCAGACATGATCCAGGAGAAGTGGAACATCCCAGGAAGGGATCGCTTCCGGCAGCACGCCCTTTGCTTCGGCACACGCCAGGACGAACCCAACGAGTGCATTGTGCTGGAGGATCTCGCTTGCGCCGGGTTCTCCCTGCACAATCGCTTCCTGGACCTGTCCGTGGAGCATGTGCGCCAGGTAATCCGCTCCTATGCCAAATTACATGCAGTTACGCTGGCCGCAAAGCGTCAGTTTCCCGAAAGGATGCAGAAGCTCCAGCAGCTGGTGGACATCTTTGAGCAGCGACGTGAGGATCACGCGTTGGGCGTTTACTTTGAGAATCTGAAGGGGAGTGCTCTATCCTCGCTGCTCTCGCCGGAGGACGATGCCTACAGGACTCGTTTGGAGGCATACTTCGCCCGGGGATCGTACTTTGAGCTGCTGCTACCGCTGGTCAGCGGATCCAATTGCGAACCCTTCGCTGTTATCTGCCACGGCGATTGCTGGAATAACAACATCCTGTACAAGCGAACGGAGCGCGGAGTGTTGGACGACGTTCGTCTGATTGACTGGCAACTGATGCGATATGCATCCCCGGTGACCGACTTGGCCTACTTCCTCTTCACTTGCACCTCGCGGGGATTCAGGCAGCGGAACCTCCGCAATATGTTGGAGGACTACTACGAGGAGTTGGGTTTGCACCTGAACAGGTAAGTTCTATCGAGGGTAAACAAATCCGAGATATAAAGCCGACTACTAACAACCACCTTTTGCTACAGATTGGGCGAGGAGGTGGAGCAACTCCTGCCCCGTCCTGCTTTCGACGAGCAGGTGGCCACCAAGGCGGCTGTGGGCCTGCTCCTCGCCATGATGGTTCTGCCCATCGTGACAATGCAGGGCCAGGATGTGCCCGATCTCCAGGCGATCAGCGAGCGAATCGAGGCAGGAGCGACCACGGATCTCCAGGGTGCCGGATTCCTGGGCGCCGGCAACGAGGAAAACTTCAAGCACCGCATGCGCGAGGTGATCCTCGACTGCGTGGACTTCAACTACATCTAGGAAAGTGGAAGGGGAGCTCACCTTCTGGCGGGCCACTTGCATCGGGTTCAGCCGGAGCTTCTTGGCACTGGTTCCAAAGCGCAGGGTGGACAACGTCTCGCTGAGATCGCAGAGATGCGGACTGATGCAGGCCAGGAATGTGAGATACGATTGTGCGCTGAGCGATTCTGGAAAGGATCAAAGGAGCAAGATGTTCAGTACATTTAGCATGGGTAGCTTAATAAAGAAATATATATACAAAACAGAACTTTCCAAATCAAAACATGGTTTAATCCAAAACCAGATGAACCCAAGGAATTTCATTTGCTAATATTGACCCTGAATGGATTATGCAAAAAACCGCACATAAGTTCTACAATTTGGCGCGTTTTAAAAAAATTCTTTGTTCCGTTAGAATATTTAGAAATTTAATCAAAAATAAATAATAAATTATTGTTTACATTACGAATGTAAATATATACATCTAAACTCATACATAATTAATCCACTTACCTTGAAGAACTGTGGTAAGGACACTATCTCGATAGGGAATCACCGTTCGTCCCGCCGCCATTGACATGATCACCTTGTTGATGCTGAGCAGGCCGAGATTGATGTTGACGCCCTCCTTCCTGGCCACGCCCTCATTACCAGTACGCCCTACGCCCTCAGATCCAGCCAGATCGACTATATTCAATCGGGAATGATGATCTTTGCTTTTTATGTGAATGGTCACGATGGCGTGTGACCTGGAGCTGCTGGCGTTCATGTTGGTGGGACGAACGCGACGATTGCCAGTGCCCAACTGCAGAAGTTTCTGCAAGTCCAGCTGGCTGTTCAAAGGAAGGTAGCGGCAGTTCTGGACACGCGAAGCCACCATGGGCACATGTGGCGTGGTGCCCAACAGATCGTAGGCCTTCTCGTTGTAGATCTCGATGAAGGAGGCGAACACCCGGACGGTGCCCTTATTGTTCTCCTGGTCGGCGGTCACGCGACTTAGGATATCGTCTAAGCAGCGGGGCAAGACACCAAGATGCTCGGGATTCAGAACCTGCAGGGGATTAACAGAATTATTGTTTTATTACAATTGCAATTATAATTTGGTAGCCACATATTTCTTTTTTTAAGTTAATAGGTTGCTATTTTACAGAAATATTTACTATTAATAGAATTATTGTTTTATTACTACAATTATAATTTGGTAGCCACATATTTCTTTTATTTAAGTTAATAGGTTACTATTTTAAAAGAATGGTCGAATATTTTTTAGTTTAATTGGCGTTCTAATTTAATAATTAATAAGGTTTTTTTTTTTTAAAGATTCAAGTTCATTATCAGAATTTAAGTTGAAATAAGAACAAAAATTAAAAAGCGTTTTTACTAATAGAAAAATAATCAAACCATTTCCAAAATTGATTGATCTGCGGAAGAATTGTCTAATATTTCTTGGCGAATTGAATTGAATTTTGAAACCCACCTTATCCTGTGGGGCCATTCCCATGGAGTAGCTCTTTCCCGTTCCTGTCTGCCCGTAGGCCAATGCCGTGCACGGGAATCCCTGCATGGCCTTCTCCACCAGCGGCAGGATCAAGGCTTGGTACATCTCATTTTGGCCGGCGGTCGAGGGAAAGGCATGATCGAAGTGAAACTCATTTTGCTCCACGATGAGGGACTGAAAAACATAAACCGTATTCCTTTAGATAATGGCTTCTCTTTACAGTTAGCTCGCAACCCACTTTGCCATCACTCCAGGGTGGAAACTCGACGACGCTCGGCTCCCGACGCCCCAGAAATTGGCGGTACGGCGCCTCACGGACCGCAATGCGCACCGCGCTCAGTTTTTCTCCGTCCATTTTGGTCAAAATTACTTTATTTGCGTAAATTAGTTTCAGTTTATATCAATAATCGAAAATGGTAAGCGTCTTTCAAATTGTGATCGCGGTAGTGTGACCATTGGTCGAGTATCTAATTAATCGATATCATCGTAAGTACGACTATCGATGTTGTGATGCGATGAAAACAATAGTCACGAGTATGCATTTGAATTATTTGCGTAAAATCTTTAATTAAAATTAAAATTATTTAGTCACTGTAGAATCAGTTGCATACAATTAAAAAAAAAAGATAATTAAGATATAAGATAATAAATAATACGTGATGCTCAAAAATCAACACTAGATTGTTAATCCCATCTCTAGCACAGCGCAGCATTATAAAAACGAATGGCAGCGCCTTTTACAGGGTTCCATTTTCCTATAGCGCGCGATTTGAATTTATTTAAATTAAGGTTACTTAAGGTTTTTTATTTTCATTTTCACATCTGTTAACTCTTTTTTTCTGGGTATAAATAGGTGAACGCCTAAAAACGGAATTGTAAACGTCACAATGCTGAAACATTGCCGCTGGCCAGCAGTTCTTCTTCTACTTCTCCATATGGTGGCAGCGATTGGGGGAAAACTGGATGGATCCGGAAAGTGTGGGGCCTACGAGTGCCGCCTGAGCAATCCGATCTGCAGATGCGAGTCCTTTTGCCAGGAGTTCAGCCAGCGGTGCTGGAAATCGCCCACTGGATGCCATTGTGCAAGGGGTTATGCCCGCGATGAACGTGGCAACTGCATTCCCCTCATTTTGTGCCGCTGACATCGTGTCTATAATTAAATTGCAACTAAATTGTACGACGCACTGGGTGATTATTGTATTCAGCCCTATGGTAATTTAATTGTTTACGAATCCACATCAATTGGGTTAAATTTAGCGATGCATGGCTGAATTGTTTTTTGCTACATAAAAACATCTGAAATACCCACAGACAAAATGGGAGGTATTTACGCAATTTACATTTATGAATAGTAATAGCAGGGCAGCTGCCAAAAAAAGGCAGTCATCGAAGTTAATTGTGATTAAATTACTTGGGACATATGTATTTATGTACATACATATTATATTTTAGCTATTATCCAAGCCTGAACATTTGGGTTGAATATTAGCTTGAATCATTTAATTAAGCTCCCACTGTCTGGAATAGTAGTTTTTTTTTTACAGATACCCATAATTTTGAAAAAGACCTTAAGCTTTGCATTTTAACAGATTTAAGGCAAAATAACGTGTAAGTAATGACTACAGTACGTATGAGTAATATGCATTAAAAACCATTGCGCAACGCTTAAAAATTTACTTGTCCCATGTAAGATTAAGGCAATAATATATATATATATGTATATATATGTATGTATATACTAGAATGTAAATTGTTGGTTAATAGTTAAAGAATTGTAATTGGATACAAAAAATGATTATAGAGGTGTATAATATTTTATATGTTAAGCAATAAAAAAGCAGAAACACTAAATGCAACAATAAGTTGTGTGCTTAATACGTATACGTAATAAAAAGGGTATTAGTTAGATTATGTTACTAGCACCTACAATCAATTTTAAAACGTTTTTGCTTTTTAGGTGGCAGTTGGATCAGCGAACTTTTATTTATATTTAACAAAGGTATGACTTTTAAAAACTACAATTTGTTTAAGATTCTATTTTGGATTTAGGTGTAGAGCAGCTGCAGGCAGTTGGGACCGCTGCGACAGCAACCGTTTCCGCAGACGGGCAGCGTTCCGGAGATCTGGGCGCGACGGCAGATGAGCGGCGGACCGCGGTAGTCGCGGCGGTAGCAGAGGCGCTCGCACACCGTACCGCCCACCTGGACACGAATAACGGTCATTCGGCAATGGCCGCCGCCCAGTATCTGCGCTTCAGCAGGCTGCGTCGCCAGCAGCGCTGCTAGCAGCGCAGTCAGGAGGAGCGGGCAACGGTAAAGGACCATCTTGCCACTCTTCATATCTTTTGGCCGATGTTGCTGCTTCTGCTGCGTTTTATAGGTGTCTGCTGGGCTCGTAAAGGCTCCCAAAGACAACACAAAAAGAGAACAAACAACGGTGAGGAAGAACAGTGACCAAAAAGCGGCAGCAATTGTTGCTGTTGTTTGCCATCAACAAAAGGTCGCGCATCTGTTTATAGCCATTACTTGTAAAATAATACAGGTATGCTTGGCCATGCCAGAGAATGCTGCGATATATGTACATATTCAGAGTTTGGAAGTTGCAAATAGAAGATAATACCAATTACAATTACTTTTAACTTTTATCTAATAATTAATGCTTTAATTGAGTATGTTTATATTAAAATATTCCCCATTTACATCGATGAGCTTCAATGTTTATGGACTTAAAAAAAAAACCGGACCAAAGAAATTTTAAAACGTGACTGGTATCACTAAGTCGGGTCACTCAATTTTACCGTTACTTCTTGTTTTCAATTTGCAAATGCCAGCGAAACGAAGAGAAAAGACAAAAACAATAAATTATGAGCGGGAGATAAAACAAAAAGCGCAAATTGAACTGGGCGTAAATTAAAAAAAAAAAAAAAAAAAAAAAAAAAAATACATAAAAACAAAAGCCAAGCAGAGAAAAGGAGAAGAATAATGACCGCAAGACCGCGACCACCTGACGCAATTGTCGATGTCTACGTGGGTGTGCGTGTCCTGCTGTTTGTGTCGGTGCTTGTGTGTGTTAGTGGGTGTGAGGGATGCGGCTTTGTAAACTTGCGTCCCGAACACAAAACAAGGATAATAGCGGAGTGTGGAAGAGAGACGGAAATGGAGACCAAGCCTGCGTGCTGAAATCAAAGATAACGACTCATCAACGGCGTCATAAAAACGTGACATCAATTTTATTGCCGGCGACGTCATCGTTCACGCGTCGCCACGAAAAAAGGTCAAGCAAAAGGCAAAAGGAAAAACTAAATCGGATTGAGCTAAATTATTTGTTGACGCAAGTGATCGTAATTAAATAATTTGATAAAAAATGAGCTTTCGTTAGTTCAGTTACACCATTACATTAATAAGGAATAGAGTGATTTATAAAATGTGTGAGTATTTTCTGTAAAACTAACTTTTTACTTATTACGTTATTTAAGTTACGTTACTTTCATTTATGGCCCAATTACACATCTCATTAAATATTGAGGTTTGCTTTTTATTTTTTAAGATATAATAAACTGGCTTACATATATGTATAAATATATGTAAATTCCCAAGAAACTAAGCTAATTACAAGCTATCCAAATTTTTAAAGTAAAGTTTATTTATTTCTATGTTTTATGTCAGAACTTTTGTACATATGTACATATGTATGTAGGCTCAACACACATGTATTGCCTTGGGAATTATTTACTAGTGTAAGCTATTAAATTGGACTGTTTGTATGATATTTCTCTTTTTGTTTGCTCACAGCACAGCAATAAATTCCCATGACTTTCGTTTACTCCATAATTTCTCCTTACTCTCGCCCTTTTTCTATCTGTTTGCGGTCATTGCCAGGCTAGAAGCTGTACACAAAAAGAAAAACATTATGTAGTATTACAATGAACTTTACAGAAAATTGACACATTTAAAAATAAATTGCTAAGCAATATTAATACATATTTTGGCATACTTTTGAAAACCGATTTTACATTACTTAGACCCCAATAAATTCCTTTATTTGTGTCCTAGTTTTATGTTATTCAGAAACTACTATCGTGTTTTCAAAATATTTATTTTTGATTTGAGTTCGAGCTGGATTTGTTTATGTGCAGGTCTCTGTGGCTATGTTTGTTGTTGTTGATCTACCGCACCGGCAGCGACAAATATTTTCACAATAAAAATTCCCATTGATGTTTATTCATGCCCCTTCGTTGGGCGCTCTTCCCATTTAGTTTTTGCAGCGATTTTTGGGGCAGTCGAAGAGGCGCCACCAACACGACAAACTTGTCGCTGGCGAAATGGAATTATTATTGAATGAACTTCAGCCATTTCCGCAGTCCATTTCGCAATAATCAATTATTGAAGCGCCGCCAATAAAAGAACAAGACGAGAGACCCAAAAACTTCGGCCTCGCCGCTGGCCATTTGTCCGATTAATTATTGACGGCTCCCCTGGCGCGTATTAAAATTCATTTGATGTCTTTCTTGTCGCCTGGTTGTCCCTCAGCCAACGTACATTTCAAGCATTTCAACAAAGCTGTCGAATTAACAATTTCAAATATTCATTTCCATTTAATTTCCTTTTCAACAAACAAATTAGAAAAAAATATAAAAAATAACTACAAATCTTAGTAACTGAAAACACATAGTTTTCATTTTTTAAATTTCAGCAAACGACTTCAAGTTCTATACTCCAAACAGCACTTTATCAAAACTACTATTAATAGTTATTTTTGGCAGTAAGCTGACTGCGGATATGGCTTGTAGCGACTGCTATATTTAATGTGATTCGAACAGCGAAACCTAAATGCTCCTTTTTCGGAATGAGCAAAACATCGTCATCGGAATCGTGCGTGTGCCTTTGTTATCGCCGCTCTGGCAGAGTTCATCTCGCTTTTCCTCCGGCGCCCACGCAGTTGATTAATCGTCGCTCGAATCACGTACAGCGACAAATGTCGCAGGTGAAAATACCAAAGTGCCCGCGGAATGGCATTGGAGTGGGTTCCAACTGGGGTTGGAGCCCACCGTTCCACAGCCGACGAAAAGCCTCGCTTTTGTCCCCCTCGCATCGGCGTGCAACCAGTTTGGCCCGATTCCCGCCGAGTTGATATCCTTTCTGTTTACCTTAGCAATTAAGTTCTTGCCATTACAAGTCTGTGTCACCAAACTCCACTTCAAAACCTTTAGCTAAAAGATAAGTGGGGTCATTAGCAAATAATTTAAGAATTTTAATCGCATTATAATTCATGTGTTTTTGATTAGTCGGTATACAAAAATTTGTTAAGTTTATTTAGTTGTATGTGAAGTTTAGAGTTACAAAAGCATTACTTTAAAATGAGGAAATACTTAATATTAAACTAAGAGATTTTGATTAAAGGTTACTAAAATAGTAAAAAACGGTAACTCAAATTTACTATAGATATCTAAGAGTATTTAGTTTTCGCGGATTTTCTGCTTTTTTTTATTATTATTATATTATATGTAATTTATTATAACAAATATATTATTTATGAAAGTTAAGAAAAATATAATTGTTTTCTTGTTAGTTTTTCTGATTATTGTTTGATTATGACTTATGTAGGAAAAGTTGAAAAATGTGTATGAAAAGTGCTTAAAAAGTAAAAAAAATGATCTTATTTTGGCTATTTCTGGTTCATTGGGAATCGTGTCAGCACTCGTTTACTTTGATGCCCTGCCGCTGGCGCTCTCCCTCCGAATCCTTCGCATTAACATAAATAAATCACTTGCCGCCATCAATCAGTCTGTTTGCATTTGCGCAGGCAGCCGCAACACCTCGCCCCCAACCACCCCCAAAACCTACCTCCCCCCCCCAACCGCCCACAACAACCATTTCTCTTTGTTGTCGTCGCCGCTTTTTGCTTTATGCTTACGCGCATTTTTCTTTGATTTATCGATGTCTCGACTATTAAGCAATTAACTTGAGGCTGTCGTCTTGCTTTAGCCTCTAACTGCTAACTGCCAACAGGCTTTCCCACTCCCTGTTATCAGATCCCCGCCAGCCCTTCTATTGCCACCATCCTCAATCTCCTTGAGTAACTGTTGCCCTGCAGACTCCACATCCTTTTTTTACCAACCAGAAAAAGGTTGGCTTCTTGGAATCCATTTGACTTTTTGAATCCAAAAGTCCTTTGCAAAAATTTTTAAAACCGAACCTTTTATCGAACCTGTGTATATAACCCTTCAAGCATTTGATTTCCGTTGAATAAAAAGTGATACACATGGTTAATAATAAAAAATGGGATATAAAGTAAAATAGTTTGACTTGCTGACTCTGAGTGAATACATTAAAGTGAATAAATTAAAATGTGATAATTAGGGTTGTCCCCAACATCCTTTCTAATAAATTATTTTTAGTTACCTTTTTAGTAACCTTTAAAGTTTTTAATATTTATTTTTTAGTTCTGTTTCCTTTAATCAAATATATTCCTCTAGCTTCCCACCAATTGCACTAATTCTTCTTTTTGTGTGTCTGTAAATAAGTAATTATGCAATACAAATGATGCTAGCGGGATGGCCACGCCCCCGCCATCGCTCCACCGCCCATTAGGGCGGCAAATGAATTTGTTTTGTTGGAATTGTTTGGATAAATGTCCACATGCGCGGCAGATTTATGAGACAGCCGAGTAATGCTGCATACTTTCAGGGGCTCTTTCACTCACACACACACACTCACAAACACTCACGCACTAACAAACACACATACGCCACGTGTGCATATAGAAAGCCTGCGGAATGAGCTTAATAATTAGCAAAGAGAAACAGAGAGAGAGCAAAAAAAATCTCGCACACAAAATGGGCAAATATATAATGAAATAAATAATAATAAAGGCAGCAGAAATGCTGTGGGTCAAAGGGCAATGGCGACAGCACACGTGGCAAATTTGCCAAAAACTTTTCGTTTCGTTTCTAGTTTTTTTTGCTCTAAATTTTTAATATAAACTGCGAAAAGGCAGAACCGTGCATAAATGTACGTCGCTATGCGTATATATTCATAAAGTCACCTCACACACACACAGACACACACATACATACACACATTGCGAAACGTTTTCTTTGCGCTGGAAAAACAAAATTAAAAAAATAACGAAAGCAAACCGAGACCAAAGAAAAAATTTATCTACGAGTCCTGCAGCAGTGGCATATGTCTTTGAGAATATAAAACACCAAAACAGCCAACAGAGAACAGAGAGGGCAACAAAATGGCCAAAAAGTTGCAAGTCAGAGCTCACAAAGTGTAAAGAAAACAGTGACAGTCGGAAGTATTTCCATGCCAGCAAATAT